TATATATATATATATATATATATATATATATATATATATATATATATATATATATATATATTGTTTTTCTTATAATTTTATTTTGTTACAAATAAATGTGTTTGAGACACTCTCAAATACTTGAGTGGAGTAACTCAAAAGAGAAATAAGTAGTTGACACTTCTCAAAAATGTAAAAACAAAATACTCTTAAACATTAATTGTAGTAAATGTTGTAAATTATTAATAATTAATAATCTTCAGTGTGTTTCAAAATGGCAAGAAAATATGCAAGTGAAGATTAATTTTGAATTCAGAAATAAGCAACACTTGTAAAGTGTTGCAGTAGGTTTGAATTCGGAAGTAAGCGACACTTTGTGAAGTGTTACAAAATGAAAGTATGAAACTCTTGAAGAATGTTGTTGTAGGCAAAACAATGTAACTTTTGCCAAAAACTTATAACTCATAGTAAAAGGAAGTTGTTTCACCAAGGGCCGCAACCTTGTGAAGCAAAACCAATATCGCCTATAAATACTTCATTCCGGATTTAGAAAAATATAACAAAAAACATACATCCTCTTCACTAAAATTTCATACACTCTTCCTTACATTTGAGTTTTCATCAGTCTTGTGCAAACTCGAGTATAAGCTAAATTATTCTTGGTATTCTTGCGTTACAACTCTAAGGCATTTGAGAGTGCTTGAAATACATTAAAAAAATTGATTTCGTTCACGATTCTAGCATCGATTCATTCGGTTTATATTAATTTTCTAACAATCTTAAAAGTATTTTGTATTGCTTAGTCGTATTCACATTTTAACAAAAGAAGAATTTATATTAAGGATTCAGGTATGTTTTATTGTTTTCCACATAAATTATAATAATGTAAAAATCATAATATTAAGATTACAAATGAATTTTCATCTCAAATTTAATATCAGAGGTTTAAATACCGACGTTATGATTTTATGAAAATAATTAATTGAAATTGATAGTATTTTAATTTATTGACAATTAATATTAGGGTTAATAGCTAATTTGCCCCTTGCCATTTGAGCGAAATTTGAAAAAAAAACCTGTAATTTTTTTTTAGATTCCCACCTAACATTTGAGGATTCCACTGATTTAATCACTCATTAAACTAACTCATCGAATTATCTGACGTGGAATTACCATTGTGTAATTCCTTTGTTATTTTCGTTTTATTTAATATCCACGCGTAAATTATTTTCATTGTAGCTGATTAATTTCACATGTCATAATTTTTGAACCCTAAATCGCAAATTCTCTTTCATGCATTTGTTGTTTTTCTTCTCCCTCCTTCGAACTACTATCTGCAGGCGTCTCCCATCTTCGCATTCCATTTCATTTTCACCTTCTTCCTCCACATATAACTACGTGCACGATTAATGGCCAGAAGTTCAAAGAATAATATATCCTCCGATGGTATAATCACTCCCAAATGTGGACACGGTCTTTCAATAAAGGTGTTCGTTTTAAAGTCTGCTGCAAATCCTAGTAGAAAATATTGAAATTACAAATTTTGGAGGAAAGAAGAAGGCTGCCAGTTATTTTATTGGGATAATGAATACTTTGGTTCTATTGATATGAAGAGTATTGAGGATGATGGTGATGGTTATAGTAGATGTGATGTCATGATAGAGTATTTGAGAAAATTTGGAAGGGATTTTAGGAAGGAATTTAGAAGAGAATTTGGGTCAAAACTGTGTTCCAAGAAGATGAAAGATATGAAGAACAAGTTAGAGAGCACAAGGAAGAAGTTAGCCTTTGTAGTTGTAGTACTTATTTATTCCTGGGTTTATTTTGTCATGGTCAAAACAGGCTGATAGTTGTATTGTATTAGGTGTTAATTATGTAGAATGAATGTTGTATTGTGATGAATTATGCCAACAACATTGTGATGTACTATGTTAACAACATGGTTGATTTGAATTGAATGAAAATAAAGTTTCTGCTTACAAAACAAAATAGTTGTTCCAAATAGTACTTCCATATTTAATTATGCTGCCATAGGCAAAATGCCATTACAAGTCACAAAACAAAATGACAGTACAACTTTGTTGCTCCAACTTACAAAACAAAATGGCATATTGTGCATTAAACTTGTTGTTTCAACTTACAAAACATAAAGACATTACAACCTTCAAAATTGTGATGTACTATGTTAATAACATGGTTGATTTGAATTGAATGAAAACAAAGGTTCTACTTACAAAACAAAATAGTTGTTTCAAATAGTACTTCCATATTTAATTAAGCTGCCATAGGCATAATGTCATTACAACTCACAAAACAAAATGACAGTACAACCATTTTGCTCCAACTTACAAAACAAAATGACATATTGTGCATTAAACTTGTTGTTCCAACTTACAAAACATAAAGACAGTACAACCTTTAAAATGACAGTACAACATACAAAATGACAAAACATGACATGACATAATGACAATACATATTACTGGGATAATTTGTTAGATATCTTATCCCATGATTTTATCATGCGCACACATGTCCCTAATTTGGAGTCTGCTTGGCCAGTAACAGTAGCAGGTGTATCATCAACATGTGTATCCTCAATTTTCAATGGTGCATCAACAGTTGAACTTGGTCCATAATATTTGTCTTGCCTGAAGATAGTTTTTAGCATTTCACTACTCCTCATAGGTGCTTGTGTTTTCTTCTTAAATATCTTACACTTTCCATTTTTCTTCTTCTTTGGTGTAAGATTAATTAGTTGAGACTGTTGAGTTTCTTGTGGTTGAGAAGAAACTTCAATAGGAAGTGATTGAGAAGCAATCAGGTCTTCAATTATGTTATCAATTTCTAGATCATAGAAAGGATCCTCTGTAGTTGGTTCAGCAGTTTCATTAGGTTCAACAGTTTCAATAAGTTCAGTAGTTTCAGCAGGTTCTGCATGTTCAGTTGGTTCAGTTGTTTTGTTATTTTTTGAGGTCTCACCCTTGGTTCTGGGTGTTTTTCTATACATATAGACAATGACAATAAACCAACAATGAGAATGATAATACGGTAGTCAATGCAATAAACAAACAATGACGATGATAATATACCTTTCTCTTCAATGCATTAGTGTCTTGTACTGTGCTTTGGCATTTCCTTGAATTATGCCCAAATTTGTCACATATTATGCACCTATAAGCCACACCAGGCCTCCTCATCCTTGAGCTTGTTTCATCATGCTCCCTTCCCCTTAACTTTTTTGGCCTACTTGGACCCTTCTTAAACCTTGGGGGTAACATTTTTTCAACTTCCACATTTGTCCACATGTCTTTCCCATTAATAAATGTCAAACTAACACACATGGTGTTGTTTGAGACCACTGCAAATTATACCTTTTTGAAGTAAAGTAAACAAAATAACAAATCATACTTCTTTTAAGAATGAACAATATAGTCAATGCTCTATTTGTGTTGTTTCCTTTTGAAGCACGAGTCTCAGGCTTGGGTAGAAGACAACGAACAATTTGAATGAAATGGGATAAGACAATGAGTTTCTGCGTGAAGGAGGATATGAAACTGGATTTAGAAATTTGGGATTTGGGGTTCAAAAATTATGACATGTGAAATTAATCAGCTACAATAAAAATAATTACACGTGTATATTAAAGAAAATGAAAATAACAAAGGAATTACACAATGGCAATGCCACGTCAGATAATTTGATGAGTTGGTTTAATGAGGGACTGAATCAGTGGAATCTTCAAATGTTTGGGTCGAAATCTTTTTTTTTACAGGGAGATTTTTCAAATTTCGCCCAAATGGCAGGGGGGGGGAAATGACAAGAAAATAATTTGTTGTAAATTATTAAGAATTAATAATCTTGAGTGTGTTCCAAATTGACAAGAAAATATGCAAGTGAAGATTAATTTTGAATTCATAAATAAGCAACATTTGTGAAGTGTTGCAGTAGGTTTGAATTTGGAAATAGGCAACACTTCGTAAAGTGTTGCAGAATGAAAGTATGCAATTCTTGAAGAATGTTGTTGTAGGCGAAACAATGTAACTTTTGGCAAAAGCTTGTAACTCTTGATAAAAGAAAGTTGTTTCACCAAGGGTCGCAACCTTGTGAAACAACACCAATATGCCCTATAAATACTTCATTCCGGATTCAAAAAAATATAACAAAAACATACGTTCTCTTCACTAAAATTCCAGACACTCTTCCTAACATTCGAGTTTTCATCGGTCTTATGCAAACTTGAGTATATGCTAAATTATCCTGAGTATTTCTGCGTTCCAATTCTAAGACATTTGAGAGTGTTTGAAATACTTTTAAAAATATAATTTCGTTCACGTTTCTATGTTCGATCCATTCGGTTCATAGTAATATTCTAATAGTCACATTTTAAAATTGAATTTAAATTTCCATTTGTTGCATTATAAGAAATTACTTTATTTTATTTTATTAAACCCAATTTTGTTGGAGTTATAGAACTTTTCATAATTTTTCTAAAAATATGAAATGTTAATTTTAGAATAACTTTAAAATTTTCTAAACAAATATATAGTGCCTAAAAAAATCTAGTTAAAAGCAACACATGCATGCATTTATCCAACTCTTGCCAACATCAAATTGACACCTCACTCTATTTCCTTATATTCACAAGCAAGAATAAAAAAAACAAAATATTGCTCCATAGATTCTATCTTCAATGACGAGCCACCTTAATATCCTTACCAAATAATTATTAAGATATATACACTTGAAGTTGAAAATCACATTGCACACTTCAAATTCTTCTCACATCTTATGCATCATATTCACCTCACTCTTCCTAGACACTACACCCAAATCTCTCAAATCCCAACCACATATAACAATATTATTAAGTTATCAAATCACAATTAAACAAACCACTCACCCACCAATCCTTTTCCACAAAACTTAATATAAAACCCCTTAACACCATATCTCAACAATTCATCAATCATACCTTAAAATTTTCATAAGCACTACAATTTTCATAATCATACCTTAAAATGATGAAGATTCAAAAGCAATTATCTCTCTTATGCATTTCACTAACACTTCTATTTTCCCTCACTTTAGCAACCCTTTCTCCTGCCACGTCACCAGTTCAAACTCAAACTCAAACACCAACTTCATCCCCAACAAAACCCCTAATCCCTACACTACCACCAAATGACAATAATACCCCTCAAACATCCACAACCGACATAGTTCAAATCCTTAAACAAGCAAACTCATTCAACATCTTCATCCGTCTCATGAAAACAACTCAGTTAATCAACCAACTAAACTCGCAACTCATAACCATAAAATCTGGTGGCTTAACAATTCTTGCACCAGAAGATTCAGCATTCTCAGAACTCAAACCAGGCTTCCTCAACACACTCTCCAATGGACAGAAACTAGAGCTACTTCAGTTCCACGTTGTTCCAGATTTTGTATCTAGCTCTAACTTCGATACTTTGACTAACCCTGTGAGAACACTCGCCGGAAACAAACCTGGAAAAGTTGAACTTAACGTGATTAGTTTTAATGGAAACGTGAATATTTCAACTGGAGAAGTTAATACGACGGTTAATGGAGTTATCTATACGGATAAACATCTTGCTATTTATAGGGTTGGTAAAGTGCTTATTCCGTCGGAGTTTTATCCGAAGAAGAAAATTGTGGTGGCGCCGGCTTTAGCACCGGCGCCTGTGATTGACGAGGCTAAGGCGCCGAAGGCTGAGAAGGAGAAACCAGTGTCTTCGGAAGATTCATCGTCGCAGGTTGTTCCTACTCTGACATCTGGTGGTATGAGAATTGATGTGTATGGAACTTGGGTGGTTACTGTTGTTGGAATTGTTTTGGGAGGTTTTTACAACATGAAGTACTAGAAAGTGCGATGTGTTTGAGTGTTTATGATTGAGCATGGAAAGTGAAAATGGAGGGAATATGTATATCTCTATGAATTTCATTCTATAATTAAAGGTGTTATATATGTTATGTTTATTTCAAATGCTTCTTGAATGGAAAATTAAAAAGAATATATTTATAAATAGAAAATAAAGATTATTAAATTATTTAAATAAGTTTTATTAAATGTTGAAAAACAAAAATTTATCTCATAGACAAGTTAGAATATATTGTGGAATTAGTGAGATTAAATTTAGAATTTTTTATGAGTGAAATATTTATATAAAAAAATTATCGAGTTGTTTAAATAATTAAAAATTGTGAAACAATATAATATATTGAATATGATCTATTTATACCATCAAATTGAATTATATGAATGTGAATGCTCTTAAAAATAATATTTTTTATGAGATTATGTTTTCTTACTTTTTCAAATTGCTTATCACTTTACTTTTGAAATACTTTGTTTGAAAATTTACTTATGAGTGAAATATTTATAATTATTTTTATCGTTCATAATAAATGAGTACTTTAGTAAAAATATTATTTATTTATTTATTTATTTCTTTTCTAAATTTCAAATTTAATTTTTTTATATTTATTTTATATTAATATTAATTTAAATTATTATTCTAAGTTAAAATAAAATTTAAATGAATAAAATATTAATATATAAGATAAAGATGTGAAATTTAATGACTTTTTTATAATTGTGTCATTAAAGTGAAAAATTAAATGAATTGTTTTAAATTGATGTATTTTAATAAATCTCATTAAAAAACTCAAAAGTGAGGAGTACCATCTCCAGCAGTGAATTCATTTTTGGGTTCTTTGTGGGATCTATTAAGTCACGTCAGCATGAAGCTACTTAACTAATTTTTCATTCCAATGGTGCAACTCTGAAGAATTCGGGTCCCACAACTTTACTTTATATATTAATATTTTATTCATATTAAATTTTATATCAATTAAAATAATAATTTTAATTTTAGTGTTTTAAATTAAATTTGATATAAAATTAAACTTATAATTTAAAATGATAATTAAAATTAATCTAAAATACATGATATATAATTAAAAACAATAAAAATAAATAACATCACATAATTAATCAAACTTAAATTTCATCATCTTCATGTCCAAAACGTTCTCAAATATGTTCGACTAGATCTCCTTGAAGTTTACGATGAACTTGTTTTTTCTTGAATACTTGCTCTTCTTTGTAGTCTTGTTGCAAGATTCAGATGAGGACCGCTAAATGTTTCAGTTGTTGAGTTATTGATATCCATATTATCATAAGAGTAATCAAAATTACCTCCATATGTATGTCGTTCGTCTTGCACGATCATGTTGTGCAATATGATGCAAGCATATATGGTATGCTTGAGAATGTCCATGTGCCAGGCACGTGCTGGGCCACGTATAATTGCAAATCGAGATTGAAGCACTCCAAATGCTCGCTCCACATCTTTTCTAGCCGATTCTTGATGTTGAGCAAATAATTTTTTCTTTTCTCCCTGTGGCATTGAAATAGTCTTGACAAATGTAGCCCACTCGGGATATATACCATTTGCTAAATAATACCTCATGTTATATGGTGTCCCATTGATTGTATATTGCACATTTGGAGCACGTCCTTCCAAAATATCGTTAAACACGTTGGATTGGTTTAGCACATTAATGTCATTGTTTGAACCTGCAATACCAAAAAAAGCATGTCAAATCCATAAGTCTTATGATGCCACTGCTTCAAGCATGATTGTGGGCTTACCATGATCACCTCGACAAAATTGTCCTTTCCATGCAACAGGACAATTTTTCCATACCCAATGCATACAATCGATGGAACCCAACATACCTGGAAAGCCACGTGACTCTCCCATTTGTAATAGATGTTCAACATCAGTGTTGTTAGGCTTTCTCAAATACTCAGCGCCAAATACAACATTGACACTCTTAACAAATCTTTCTAAGCACTCAATTGAAGTGCTTTCACCGATTCGAACATATTCGTCTACAAGGTCAACAGGAGACCCATACGCCAACATACGAATAGCAGATGTACATTTCTGCAATGGTGAAAGACCCATTTTACCTGTTGCATCGACCCTCATTTGGAAATATTCATCATGATTTCCAAGGGCATCTACAATTCGAAGAAATACATGCCTATGCATTCTGAACCTTCTTCGGAATTGAACATCTGTGTATACTGGGTTTTCCGAGAAGTATTCATTGAATAATCGATTGTGCCCTTCTCCACGACCTCGATCTACCGTTGTTCTTCTCTTTGGCCTAGAGGAAGTTCCAGATCGACGTTCATTTTGAAGTTGTTGTTCTTCATCACTGTCGTCCATAAATTCTTCTTCAACCAACTCCCAAAATTCTTGATCGTAAGTATCTTAATTGTCTGAATCCATTTAGTGAGTAAAGAATGAGAGAAAAATGAGAAGAATAAGATGAGAATGAGAGAACAATGACATAAGTGGTAGTATATATAATGGTTAGTTTGAATAACGGCTAGTTTGAATAACGGCTAGTTTGAATAACGACTAGTTTGAATAACGGCTAGTTTGAATTAAAGTGGTAGTTTGAATAACGGCTAGTTTGAATAACGGCTAGTTTGAATAACGACTAGTTTAAATAACGGCTAGTTTGAATAACGGCTAGTTTGAATTAAAGTGGTAGTTTGAATAACGGATAATGACCATTTTACATAGGTGTTGATAAATTAAAGTGGTACTAATGACCATTTTACATAGGTGTTGATAAATTAAAGTGGTACTAATGACCATTTTATGTAGAAGCATGCTTCATCTCAAGGTTTCAAAGTTTTGATGACAACAACAACAAGACTTAAGATCATTTCATCTGTGCAAAAAGTCAAAAGCTTTCAAAAGACCAAGATCAAAGTATTATGGAAGTGATCAACATTCAAGCTTCATGTATATTTGCTCGATCATCTTTCAAGACTTGGACACAAGCTATGGTATATCAAATTCTCTAATTTAATTGATATACAAGTGTTCAAAACTATAAACTATTTTTGCATAATGCATTAACATGTTTTAAAATCATTTGGAATTGGTATAACACTTTTAAATTAATTATTTTTCAAAGTTTTTACAGTGTTAACCGATTAACCATATAGGTTAATCGATTAACGCCCTAAAATTTTAAATTTTTTGGGCCAACGTTACAGGGTTAACCGATTAACCTATATGGTTAACCGATTAACACTGAACGTTTTCTAAAAAATTGTTTCATTTCAAGTTCAAAAATTATTTGAATGTTATACCTTTTCATGTGTTAACTCATACTCAAATATACCCTTTTGAAATGGTGTTTTGGATGATATAAATTCTGAAAAATTTCAAATTAAAAAACACCTCCAACAATTTTCAAAAACAATCATTGAATCATATTCACTACTTTTCAAATAATTTCAAATACATTCAAAAAGTGTTCATACTTGCATAACCTTTCACATCCATTTGTTTGAACACTTGTATTGAGATTAAGTTGTGAATTCTGATTAAAGGAGAAGATCAATCTTTGTATTGATATTACTATTGTACTCCCAAATTACAAAAAGAATTACAGAATAGTCTGTTGTGACTTGTGATCCAGGATTGTTGGACACAAGGGTTAGTGTTTTTGCAAGAGGATTGTTCTTGCACACTAGTTTGTTTTGTTATTAGATTGTAGGCCTCACTGGTTGATGGTGTGATAGGTTGTACTTTCTAAAACAATAGTGAAAACTCTCTTTCATGTGGAAAGGGGAGTGGAGTACCTTCGGATTGTGAAGGGAACCACTATAAATCTTGGTGTCCACTTTCTTTATGCTTTTTACCGCATTCATCACCAAGAACATAACCAAAGAAAAATTAAAGAACACCAAAAATCCGAAAAAGTTTCCATAAGCCTAATTCACCCCCCCCCCTCTCTTAGGCATACTCTGAACTTACATTTTACATAGGTGTTGATAAATTAAAGTGGTACTAATGACCATTTTACATAAGTGATACTAACTACATTCCATATTTTTTTTCATCTTATTACAATATTTTTCATGAATATCGCGTTGACTATCATTCATAGTAAAAGTGTCTTTCATCATCATTTGCACTACCCTTAATTCTAGCTCGTCCTCCTTAGCTTGCGCAAGTCTGTCCATTGCTATTGCTCTTTTATTCTTTGCATCTTGCGTTGCATTTGGAATTTCTGATGCCTTACCCTTCCTTTTTGCTGCTTTTTGTCCCATTGGACGCTTCATTAGTGATGATGAGTTAAACTCATAACTTGAAGTTGTATCTGGGTTCTCCGATGATGCCCCACTAGCATAAATCTTTGTTATTTTTACAGAATTTCCAATCGATTCTTCGACGATGCGCCATTTAACTTCATCTTTTAACAATCGCCATGCATACTCAAGATTGAATGTTGTACCTTGATCCTGAGCAAAAATAGCATGTGCATCTGCCATGACATCAGTCTCGGATGTCCCACTTTTCTTTCCTTTAAGAGCTATTTTGTAACACCCAACAAATTTTTGAACCATGTCATTTATTCTATGCCATCAACATTTTAACTGTCCCCCTAACTTTTCCCGCAATTGCCCACGATATTGGTTATAACTAGCAGCAATTCTTAACCAAAAACTCTCAGCCTTTTGATCAACTCCCACAATTGGATCCTTTGAAACATTGAGCCATGATTGGATAAGTAGTATATCCTCTTCCCTTGTAAATTGCTCTCGAGATCTTTTTTTAACGACAACCCTTTCTTCTTTTTTAGTACCAACTTGAGTAAAAAATGGTAGGACTTGAGTAGAAAATGGTGGAACTTGAGTAGAGAATTCCATACTATTAGAATTCATTTGAGGTATAGGATACATATTTGGATTGTTTGGTGACGGAAGAAATATGGCGGGGTTTGTTGGCACAAGTGGAATTTGAGAATTTTGAGGATTAGGATTTTGAGAATTTTGCATGTAATTGAAAAAAGCTTGTTGATAATGAAAATGATTAGGATCCATTTGGCCAAAACAATTGTAATTTGAAGTAAAAAGATGAAATTTTGAGTTAAATATTTTGTAAAAAAAATGTTAATGAGAAAAAATTGTTGAAAAAAAATTAAAAGTATAGGAATAAAATGATGAAATTGTGAGAGAGAATTTTCAAATTGAAGAGAAAATAAAAGTGAGAGAAATTTGTGTTGGTAAATTTTTGAAAACCAAAATTATATTTATAATAAAAAATAAGTTAAAAAAAAAAAGTAGTTGTTTCACAACAGCTAGTTTTATTATATTTATTATATTAGCCTTTAACAAATGTAAAGAACCGTTGAAATGGTAAGCAACGTTTGCTACTTGAAAAACATTTTACCAATATTAAATACATATATAATTAGTCGGCTGGCGAACTTGTATGAAGAACCAACGTTGAGGTTGGTCTAATGTGGAGTTGTGGTTAATGAGATTGTTGGGGCACCATGAGCAGAGAGATGGAATTTTCCAACACATAGTTTTTATTTTGGGTTCACTTATGTATTTAAGTTGTTTTTAAAATACATTAACACCTTCATTTAATGTGCACGCATAACTTATCTAAAGGCATGATTCATGCCTTTCTTATTAGACAGTCACAAAATCATGATCCTTGCTTTTATGTGTGCTCAGATAAACAAATCCTCCTAAATATTTTACATTTAATTTTTAATTTTTTAAAATATTTTTTTAAAATAATAATAATTTTAAAATATTTCTTTTAAATTTTTTATTCTTTATACTAAAATTAACGTTAAAGTTGTCGCGAATTTAATTGCTAAGTACTCACTCCGTCTTATAATAGATATCATTTTTCCTATTTTTATTTGTCTCAAATTATTTATCCTTTTAAAATATCAATATGATATTTATTAATTCTTTTTACTAATTTACCCTTATTTATTGTATTTTAAATAATGTAACTATTCCACTATATATTATTAAATAAAGTTATTTTAATATACTTATTTTATTATTGAAATCAACACAATTAATCATTTTAAAAAGTATAAAAATGTCAAAGAAAACACATATTATGAGACGGAAGGAATAATAAATAGTCTTTAAAATTATAGCTAATTAAGTTCCTAAGTTGTAAAAATTGTCATTAAATTGTAAAAATCTCGTTATGTGGTAGGAATGACAAAAAACGTAGATGAAAAATTTTAGAATAATTATTTTATAAAAAAAATATTTTAAAAAATTAAAAATAAAATTTGAGATATTTAAGGAACACAAACATATTTAATTCAATAAATAAAATAAACCGTAAGTAATTTAATACTCTCTCTGTCCTACACTGAGTGATCCATTTTAAATAAATGAGTGTCTTTAAAATGTATAATCTATTTTAATTTTTAATACATCTTTTTTAATTTTACTCTTTAATTAATAATACTTTTATCATTTTTAATATATGATAAAAATACTTTAGTAAAAATATCACGCTCTTGTTCATTTATTTATTTTTCTAATCTGCGTAAAAGGTTAAATCACTCAATATAAGACGGAAAAAATATAGTTGCAGAATAATTATGAGATTAGTAGTTCAATCTTTATTGATGCAGACAACCACTTTTTTTCCAACTAATGTTTTATAAGTAGAATAAACTATAAATGCATTTTTATTTATCTATCTTAAAAAGTTAAGTAGTGTTATCTATAGAATAGATTAGAATAAATTAAATTGAAAACTTACAAAATTTAAACTATTAAAATAAATAATATAATATAATAAAATAATATGAATTATTTGAATGTACACTACCTAACTTATTGACAATAGTTAATTTGTAGATAAAGTTTTGGTAAACTCAATTTTAGCCGAAATTAAGTCATAGAGTAATGTTTTCCGAAATCTTTTTTCATTTTATTTTGGTTTACAATTTAATTTAGCCTATGAAAACTTAGGCTCATTAAGATTATGCCGCGGATAATTTTTCGAAATTATTCTTTTAAATATTCTAAGTATAATTTTATCCACAAAAACATAGATTTACACATAAACAAGTGGTAGATAAATTTTCAAAAATCTTTTTTAAGTTATCTGATAAACATTGTGAAAAGGTAAAAAAATAAAATAATGATAAACAAAATTTACATAATGGATCTCTTGCAATGCGAATTGTTCCATTAAATTATAATTAAATAATAACTTTTCACAAATCAAAAAACTTGTTTAGAGGTGAAAAATGTTCAAATTTATAAAGGATAAACTTGGCAATATTTTAGATTTTGTAATGATAAAATTATAAGTTAAAACCTCTTGTTTATATAAATCAGACAAACAACTATTTAGATCAAACTGCCATATCTAAAATTTTTGGATCGGTCAAATGGTCCAATCTAGAGTTTCACTTACCTAAAGATGACAAACATGTAAATTCATGTCAAAAGGGCACACTACACTAATCATGTTTGAATCAACCTGATGACCTCTGGAATTTCATATTGTTAGACAATTTACTTTAAGCACAAAAGTAAAGGTGAATTATGATATTACAATTTAAGATTACTTTTTTTTTTTGGTTTTCTCAATTATTTTTAAAATTGAGTTAGTAATTTCTTACAAATAGACTAAATAGTAGCATAAATAAAAACAATAAATAAATATCATAAATTAAAGAGGATAAGAGTTGGAGACATTGACCATAGAGTTATCCAGGTTTAGTCGAACATTGACTGTGTTCTATTCCTAAGAGATTTTTTGAGATTTTGACTAAAACATTGAGCTTTTACAGGTTATGACCAAACACCTATGATACAAGCTAATCTTTATAATGGTTTATCCCCAAGGTAACATGAAGTTTTTACCCAGGCTAAAATAACAAACCAAATAAAGATTTTCTAGGCTAATCTCAAGAAGCAAACAAAGATTTTAAGATTTGGTTAATCTTAAGAACCAAACTCTATTTTTCAAGAGTGTCACATTCTTGAAAGTAATCACAAGGAAACTTCACTCAAACAATTTCTTCTTCAAAAGTAATGTTTCACTCAAAAGAACCAATGGAACTTTAAGCGAACACTACTGCAAATAATATATTTTATGACAACGATTTCACCTCACATAATGAAAAACTGAGGTCAAATACCTAAAGGCACCTTTTTTTTTTAAATATACAATATATTTCATCTGGTTATTTGGAAAACTAATGGGTAAACATATACAGTGTACATGCTTCGAATCCCAACAACCTCTGTTTATGTTTTTATCTCATTAAAAGTGGCACATTCTTAAATATTTTATTTTTAATTTAAAAGTACGCTACTTTACCCCCTTGGTTTTCTTTCCAGCCGAGATGAATATGTTTCTCTGACATATATAGTTTTAGCTTGTAGCATTCAATTTTACTTGTCTAAATAACACAAACATAACCCTAACGAAGAGCCCTAAACAACAAGAGTCATACAGACATATCATCTTCAATACGAAGATGTTACGTGTTTAGGGCTCTCTTTTCTTCTTCGAAGATCCAAATCATTTTCTTTTAATTCTTCTTCAGATTTCTAGTACGTCAAACATCACTACTAATATTTTTATCATATTGTTGTTGTTGTTGTTGTTGTTGTTGTTATTTTGTTATTGTTGTTGTTGTTGTTGTTATTGTTGTTGTTGTTAAGATCCGTAACCTGTTCGAATTGCAGTAAAGCGGACAAGAAGCAAAAATTTAGTTTTGGAAGAATTCCCTCCGGTATTTATAACGTCTCCATAGGGATCGGTGCGAGGGAAAGCATGTCGTTCAACGGTTTCTACATTTCTAAGTTTGTTGTGATTTTTTTTTGAAAGATTCAATGTACAATAAATAAAGGCAGAAAATATAAAGACGGAAAATATAAAGTAAATACTTAAAATATAAACGAAACCTTGTTGAGATTGGATCTTATGAATCGATAACAGATACATTCTTCTAACCAGTTAAACACAAATTAATTATTCTTATAATATCCTCACGTATCACCCACGACAGAGATTATGTCTAACGCAACATCGAAAGAATAGCCGTATTGTCTCATTTGTAATGTCGGAACACTTTTTTATAACTAATACAATGTGTCAAAAAATAATAGGAATTTTTAATCTCAATTGTTGTGGTATTTGTAAGCCACCTTTGCTGTAGAAAGCAAGTTTTGTGCAAAAGTTTCAATTATTTATTCTATAAAATGTAAAGTTAGAATATATTGTGGAATTAGTGAGATCAAATTTAGAATTTTTGATGAGTGGAATATTTATATAAAAAAATTATCGAGTTGTTTCAATAATTAAAAATTGTGAAATAATATAATATATTGAATATGATCTATTTATACCATCAAATTGAATTATATGAATGTGAATGCTCTTAAAAATAATTTTTTTTTGAGATTATGTTTTCTTACTTTTTCAAATTGCTTATCACTTTACTTTTGAAATACTTTTGTTGAAAATTTCCTTATGAGTGAAATATTTATAATTACTTTTATCGTTCATAATAAATGAGTATTTTAATAAAAATACTATTTTTTCATTATTTATTTATTTTTAAATTTCAAATTTAATTTTTTTATATTTATTTTATATTAATATTAATTTAAATTATTATTCTAAGTTAAAATAAAATTTAAATAAATAAAATATTAATATATAAGATAAAGATGTGAAATTTAATGACTTTTTTATAATTGTGTCATTAAAGGGGAAAATTAAATGAATTGCTTTAAACTGATCTCATTAAAAAATTCAAAAGTGAGGAGTACCATTGGAGATGCTCTAAGGTGGAGTTGTGGCTAATGAGATGGTTGGGGGCACCATGAGCAGAGAGATGGAATTTTTCAACACATAGTTTTTATTTTGGGTTCACTTATGTATTTAAGTTGTTTTTAAAATACATTAACACCTTCATTTGATGTGCACACATAACTTATCTAAAGGCATGATTCATGCCTTTCCTATTAGACAGTCACAAAATCATGATCCTTGCTTTTATGTGTTCTCAAATAAACAAATCCTCCTAAATATTTAAATTTCATTTTTAATTTTTTAAAATATTTTTTTTAAATAATAATAATTCTAAAATTTTTCTTTTAAATTTTTTATTCTTTATACTAAAATTATCGTTAAAATTGTCGCGAATTTAATCGCTAAGTACTCACTCTGTCTCATAATAGATATCATTTTTCCTATTTTTATTTGTCTCAAATTATTTATCCTTTTAAAATATCAATATGATATTTATTAATTCTTTTTATTAATTTACCCTTATTTATTGTATTTTAAATAATGTAACTATTCCATTATATATTATTAAATAAAGTTATTTTAATAAATAATACTTATTTTATTATTGAAATCAACACAATTAATCATTATTTTAAAAAGTGTGAAAATGTCAAAGAGAACACATATTATGAGACGGAAGGAGTAATAAATAGTCTTTGAAATCATAGCTAATTAAGTTCCTAAGTTGTAAAAATTGTCATTAAATTGTAAAAATCTCGTTATGTAGTATGAATGACAAAAAACGTAGATGAAAAATTTTAGAATAACCATTTTATAAAAAAAATATTTTTAAAAATTAAAAATAAAATTTGAGATATTTAAGGAACACAAACATATTTAATTCAATAAATAAAATAAACTATAGATAATTTAATACTCTCTCTGTCCCACAATGAGTGATCCATTTAAAATAAATGAGTGTCTTTAAAATGTATAATCTATTTTAATTTTTAATACATCTTTTTTAAATTTACCCTTTAATTAATAATACTTTTATCATTCTCAATACATGATAAAAATATTTTAGTAAAATATCACGCTTTTGCTCATTTATTTATTTTTTTTAATCTATATAAAAGGTCAACTGAATCACTCAATATAAGATGGAAATAATATATAAGACAGAAAAAATATAGTTGGAGAGTAATTATAAAATTAGTAGTTCAATCTTTATTGATGCAGACAAACCCTTTTTTTTT